AGCCACTATAAAATGGACGTGACTCATCAAAGGTTTTCAGAGAGACTCCGATGAAATAATGAATATTAAAGCACTTTGCTAAGTATGAAATACTATACAATTTTAAAATATTATTGCAAAATAAACTTAAAGTTCTATGCAATGCTTTATTTCACAATAATTTGCTAATCCTCTACTCTCTATTAATTGAGGAAGATATTAATGTACACTGAAAATATTTTTTCAAGTATGCACTTAAATAAGATGTAATTTACTCATCAATTTATCTTCCTGTATCAAATTTATCCCTCTCATCACATTGCATAAGACTACCTTTGTGGAACTTCCCTTCTTTGTGAGTCAGCTACCAGACTCCAGTTGCTTGACTCTCAAAGAAAGTTTGCCTCAAGCAGTAGGAGTGAAGGCAATGACATTTCAGTCACTTCCACTTTTTTTCTCATCAGGGACAGATGGGCCAAACTGGGCAAGGTTGCTATGCCCAGAGTGACAGCCTGATGTGTGTATGGGTGTGGAAGGAGGAGGATGTCTTGCTATTGACAATGGTATGGGGAGTAGGGTGGGGGGAACTACAGACCAAATGAATGACTTTACGTAAACCTTGAAGTTCTGATTATAGATACTTTTATGTATGTATCCATGTATAGATCAGCCACTGTTTTGCAACTTTTAGTCTTAGAAAGTTCCCTATACCAGTGAAATCACAGGTCTAGACCAATACCACATTTCCTCTCCTTATGTGTGATTGCATATATATGTGACTGTAACAGCACATCTCTGGTTAAATGCTTAATAGCATACTTGTACAAACATATCTTTATGATTTGATTTACATACTGTAATACTTTTTTACTTTCCTGTTACATTCCTGATCTTTGCAAGGGGCCCCACTGTGCTGCTTCCATTCTAAGATTCTAGCCACCTGCAAGTCTTGCTTATGCAGGTCCTCTACAAGGTATGTGATAGGCTTGCAAGGCCAGCCATGAGCTGACCTGGGGCCCTCTTTTAAACTGTAAAGTTGAAAGATTCCAAGGTGAAGATCTAGAAGTAAGGTAAAAGATAGAATTTCTCTAATTGCTGAATTAAAACAGTAGAAAGTCCGAAGCAAAGTTCAAAGATATTATCCCAGAAAGGAGGATAAAAGTAACAGAAAGGTTTTATAAGACCAGTGCTGCTTGTTTTTCCATGGATGCTTGATGGATGTTGGCAGCTGAGGTCAATGTAGGCTGTTGGTATAGAACACATCAGAACCAGAGAACCAGAAGAAACATACCCCCTTGAAGAAGGTGGAACTGGCATCCGTGGAGACCATTTGTATTTCCATGCCCTTAACCTACTTCTAGAGCCAGTCACACAAAACTTACCCAGATATATGAGTTGTAAAGGGTTGTTCTCTTACCTCCTGTATTAAGGTCACAGGCTTATGACATAGCTATGTGGATAATGGAGAACGGTCTAGAGAGACTGATCAGTTTTTGGCCCTGACCCATGGCAGGCTCTGAAGGCAAAGGCCATTCAGGGTGCTGAAAAACAGGATGGTATTCTGTGGAAGGACATTCTTCAGGATACTGGTTAAAAGTTATAGAAACTAAAATATAATGACAGAATTTTAGAGCTGGGCCTTGGAGCTCATCTAATCCTATGTCCTTATTCCATAAATGAGGAAACTGAGGTCCACAGAGTTCAAAGGATCATAACTCTAGAACTGGAATGAACCCTCAGAGACCATCTAGTCAAACTCCCTCATTTTATAAACAAAGCAAGTGAGGATTAGGGAGGTACTGGCAGAGCTAAGACTAGAATCCTAGGTCTCCTGATCCCATTTTTTCAATTTCAATTTACCACCAGCAATAAAATACTTATGAAGCACTTGCTGCATATATGGCACTGGGCTCAGGACTTAGACATAAAAGATAAAAATAGCACAGTCCTTGCCCACAAAAATTTACAATATAGTATCTGTGAGAGATATGGCATGTACACAAATCAATATTAAAATGTTCTAGAAAAACTTGAAGAGAGATCACTTTCAGTTTGGGTTTGGGACAGGAATCGAGGAAGACTTCATGGATAAGGTGGCACCTTATCAACAGGATTTGGCAACTGGTTAGATATGGGGAATGGGGTAAGAGACATGGAAGAGTCAGTGACCTCACACTTTCTCCAATGATTCCATAGTGAAGGGGTTGCCTAGTCTCTTTATCCCTGAATAGGATTATCTAAATACTGGTGATGTCCATAAGCAGCTGGTTATTGTTCATGGAATATTCTGTCCCTGACTGAGGGATGTACTATTTTTGTTTGCATATTTGAAAAAGGATAGAGGATACCCCCAAAAGACTTTCTATGCCATTAGAACAGCAAGTGCATACACACAGACAAAAGGCACTTGGCTCTCCAAAGATTCAAGTTCTCTTAGGGACTTGTTTATACTCAATTTAGCACTTGATTATACTCTGTCTTGTATTTTTGTGTATTTGTGTGAGAAGATATGCATAAGAGACAGAGAATCAGAGATAGAGCATGAAAGAGAAAGAAACAGAGTCTTGTCTCTTCAAAGAGACTGCACACTTAAGGGGTAGTATGGAATTACAGAATTTTGAATCCTACAGAAGGTTTGAATTCTAACTCTGAGGCTCACTTTATGTCACTCTGTTAGGCATTGGTCAAAAGAAGAAATGTAGACAATGCTTCTTTAATTTATTTTTATTGTTAGGTAATTGGGGTTAAGTGACTTGCCCAGGGTCACACAGGACAATGCTTCTTTTACTATCTACCTACCTCTCAGGTTTGTCATCAAGAAAATACTTTGTAAAAAATGTTTATAGCAAAACTGTGGTAACAAAAGACAAAATGGGTGCCCGTTGATGGAGGAATATCTAAATGTGAAGGTGATACATCAAGGTAACACAATGTTATTACACTCTAAGAAACAAGAAATGTGAAGAATTCAAGGAAGGAGGGGGAAAGGGCTTGTATGAAGTGATGACATTGGGGTTGAAGAAAGCAAAACTGAAAGAACACAACTACAGTAATGTAAATGATAAGGACACCAAGAAGCAATCAAACTGGGGAATTTCAATGATCCAATCTCAGATCTGGGGAACTTATAATAAAGAAACATACCTTCCTTTTTTCAGTAGATTATGTGAGGACTGCAGACGTGGAATCATACTAGAATTACACTGGTAGACGGAATTGTTGCTGTTTATTGACTTTGCTTAAACGTTTTGTTTTGGTTTGGTTTTACCGGGAAGGGCTTGTGGGAGGGGTGAATTTAAGGGGGTGGGGGGATGATTGTGGTGAAAATAAAAGGCAAAAGATAAGATTAGTTTTGAACAATACTTTTCAAGCACTTTAAAGTGCTACTAAAATAACAATACCCGGTACAGTGCCCGGAAAACGGTATAGGGACCGGCCCTCTGATTTCACTGGAGGGAACTCCAGGTGCGGTACTTCCTCTACTTAAGAGGTCAGCACCAACTTTGCAATTTACAGTCTTAAGAGAAGTGCCTAGAGCACAAAGAGTTTAAATTAGCTTGCCCACCCTTCACGTCAGCAGCATATGTCAGAAGCAGCCAGACTTGAGACTGTCCAGATCTTTCTCACTCCGAGGCCAGCTCTGTACTATGCCATGGGTTCACTGAACTCCTCACTTCAGATTTGTGCTTCATAGATTCATGGATTTAAAGGTTGAAAGAGACCTCCGGGAGAATTAGGGATACAAAGAAACAGTCCTTGCCTTCCATTGGAGAAGACAGAGACTAGGCTTTAATCTTCGCATCTTCGGTAACTAGCACAATTCCAGATACTGCTACAGTAGTCGCTTAATAAATGTTCATTAGTTAATTGAGAAAATATTTGGGGTTACAGGGCAGTGGCCAGAGCAGTAGAATATAAGTGAACATAAATCCAGCTTCAAAGGATACTAACTAGCTGTCTGAGTGCCTCAGTTTCTTCATCTCTAAGATAGCTAGTGCTTTCTATGTACCAGGCACTGTGCTAAGCGCTTTTCACTTATTATTCCACTTGGTCCTCAAGGAAGAAAGTGGACTACAAAATTTCTAAGGTTCTTTTTATTTTACGATCAGGAAACTGAGGCTCAGGAGGGAAAGGAGCTTGAGGAACAAACATACATTTAATATCCTACCATTTTCACTAATTTCAACAATCCTTTCATATGTATTGGCAACTTTTACCTAAAGGATTTTTAAAGCACTATCCAAAGCTAATTAGGGTGCAGAGAATAGCTCTCCCTACTAAAAAGGAAACCCGGATCAAAAGTCTGCCCTTGGGGGTGTGCGTTTTCCCGAGATCATAGGGAAGGATCTAAGTGCACGTGAAGGCTTTATTTGACCTGCAGGGAGGCCTGAAGAAAGATACTGGTTTGTAAAGAAAGTTCCTCTTTTCCCCACTTTGGTTAACATCAGGGACATTTGGTTTCAAATAAAAACAAATCGTGTTTTGCTGGGGAGTCAAAGAAAGGTGGAAAAATGCTCAGGGAACGCCGTGCATTTATTTGAGGCTAATTTTCACCCCATTGCAAGGCTGCAAGAATTCATCCCAGTGCCTGAGCCCACAAAAGCACGTAAACCCGACGAAACTACTCGGTCTGCAGAAGCGCGCTTCAGGAAACCCCCAGGCGCGCGAGGGGGTGTGTTTAAGTGTTTGCGCGCGCTCCCGCCCGCCCAAGAAGGGAGAGTCCGCGAGCTTGCCGGAGGGCTTGCACCGCTTAAGCTTGGGCATGGAGGGGGGAGGCGAGAGAGGAAGGCGGGGGATGGCGCGAGCCAGGCGCACGGGCGGGCGGGGCGTGCACACTCTAGGCGGTATTCGAATATGCTGACGTTTAACCGCCCGTCTCCCTCCTCTACTTCCCACCTCGTCCTTCTATTGGGCGCTGCTGCTGCCTCCGCCTCCTCCCGGACGGAACCGATCGGGGCTGGTTTGAGCTGGTGCGTCTCCATGACGACGACGCCGGCGCTATAAGTAGCGGCGCCGCGGAGCCGTCGGGCTTTGTCAGACCCCTTCAGCCTCCGCCGCCGGTAGCTGCTCTGCCACCAGCTCTAGTGCCACCTCGGGCCGGCGGCTCGGCGCGGCTCCTCCAGCTGGGCAGGAGGCGGCTGAACGGGGGCGGAGGTTGGGGGGAAGGCATCGAAGCCGTCGAATTCCGCTCATCTTGAGCATCTCCATGGGGTCTGCCCACTCCGTCCATGCCCTTTAAGGTGAGAGGTTGGGGGTGGGGAAGCGCAGCTCAGCCTGTCTCTGGGACAGCGACCAACCGGCGGCCTGTGACGGGTCAGGCGGCCACGTGTCCTTGTGGAGCCGGTGCCGGCCTCCGGCCGGGAAGCGACGTAGCCGACTCTAGGCCCCGAGAGGTTGGCGGAGGAGCGAGGCCGGGCGAGGACCCCTCGCTAGCCTCCTGAGGGGCGGGTGGGCGAGACCACCCCGGATGTTGAGGGGGGGAGGCGGAGGAGGAAGCGGTGGTTGAGACCACCCTTGCTACGGAGGAGGGGGGAGAGTGGAGAGCTGGAGTGAGGCCGGCGAGTGTGAGTGAATGGCTGGGTTCCCCCGGACCCTGCCCGGCCACGGCCGCGGGCCCAGCTGGTGCAGCAGGTAACGGGCGCTTTTGGGGTTTGATGGTTCTTCCCGGAGGCGCCTCCTTTCACTACGCCCGGCCCCACGCGGTTTGCCTGGAAGGAGGGAGGGTGAGAGCTGCAGCTGTCCTTTCACTTCTTCTTTTACCCTCAGTTCCAGGGGAGTTTGAAGAGGCGGCCGACAGGAAGCTAAACGCTATAAATTCACCCCTGTTTAAATTCGTGGGTGGTTCGCTGCCCGGGGAGCAAACTTGGCCACTCCACTACTCACTGTGTGTGACCTTTCCACTCGGGACTGTCACGTCACCCACTCCCAGCCCCGTGTTAACCAAAAACAAAAATCCATCGACTCCATCCAAATTTGATCTCGTTTGTAAAGACTGTGGGGTAGGGGGTCCTTGACTTAAGGGTCCCTTCTTTTAGCGCTATGTTTCTACGAAATCTGCTGACAAGGCTGTGTGACCTTAGGCAAATCATTTCAGTTCTTCCCGTATAGATAAATAAGTTGATCTGACTTATTTTAGTGGGACTTAGAGGTCCCACTAAATCCTATGATCTTTTGCAGTACTCATCAGAAAAAAGCTGATAAATATAACGATTTATGTGGTAGTTGTGAGGAAAGTGCTTTTAAGCCATCTTGTAATAAATGTTAGCTGTGATAATAGCAAATTATTCCCCTTATGTGTTTTTTTCCAGCCTCCTTACCAACAGGTGGCCCTTTTTCTGATTATAGCCTGCATAAAGACATTTTCCTTTTTTTTTTTTTTTTACCGGGGTGGGTGGATTGGTTGCTGAAAGCTATTTAGAAAGGTACTTATCTGATACAGAAACTTGTGGGAGTTTCTTCTTTCTTTACTAGGTTGTCTTGCTGAAATGGCCTTGTAGTAGTTTTGATAAACAGTGAGCTGAAATGGCCTTGTAGTAGTTTTGATAAACAGTGAGCTAAAATGACCTTAGAAACAGTAACTCCCTTCATTGGTGTCGGCTAAAGTATTCTTAATTGGTCAAAGTATTCATTCTAATTGTAATCATAAAAATTTAGAAGTAGACATAAATACTTTAGACCCCAATGAGAATGGAATTTTAAGCACAGAAAGATCTTAAGATAGATGTATATATTATCCTGGCTGGCAAAACTAGTTTTGGTACCAGAACTCTAATGAACAGAACTCAAAAGTTGACAGCTGCTTTTAAAGCCATACTTAATTGTACTTTAAAAATGAAGTTATTTTTCCCTTCCTCCCCACTTGCCCCCAAATAGTATTTAAACAAAACGCAAAATTTATCAGAAACTCCAGCCACACAAAGGTGTTAAATTTCAAGTGAAATTTGATTTGGAGACTGAATTTGGGTCTGCTGATCTCAAAATAAATATCAAATAAATAGTTGGGTTCAGAAATGGGACAAGGGGATAAGATACTTGTGATGTCATTGATACAGGGAACTTCTGAAAATTTAGGGACCTCTCAGGAGTGGGGAGGGGGTATTTTAATATTTCAGCCAGCCAACTCATTTTATAACTGGTGCCATTTGAAATATAGGAGTAATAATTTTGGGCTATAAAGTACATTATAACTAAGTCTGAAAAACTACAACTTTAAATGTGTTTTAAAAATACGTAGTGCATTTTTGATGGATGTCAAATAGAATAATAAGGAAGAGCACTTCAGGTAAATGTAGTACATATCTTTTGTTATGGACATATGAATAAAGGACTAGAACATTTTCAACTTGAATTTGAAGCGTACCTTAAAAAATTTCTATAGGGAAAAACAGTCTGCCCAATAGATTGTTTAAAACCTTGTTTTTGCCCGTTGGTGAATTGTTTTTATATAGACAAAGATTAGCTTTACTTATTTTGCCTTTCAACAAGTTTTAGTGTTGGCAGGGCTGGAAGAGAGAATTTCTTTTAAGGTTATATTTTAAAACAGTTGATGATTTCAAATGCACTGAAGGTTTACTCTGCACTTAAATACCCAGTAACCACTTTTGACTGTAAAGTAGAGGCCATAAGAACAGTAAATATTGTACCGTAGTTGCTCTATTTTGTGTTTGTAAATATTAGAATTACCTGTTACAGAAAAGATTGGGTTTTTTTCTTTAAAACATTAAAAAAAATCTTTCATATACTCTGGAGAATAAGTTTTGTAGAAAGATTGTTGAAGAGGATGAAGATAATTGTGTGTTTGGCTACCAACTCCTTATTCTGATCTACAGCTATTATATAGTGATTGAAAATACATGTCCAGAGAAGGAAACAGTATTGAAATAAGATTCTTAAAGTTAGTCTGACTCAAACTTAAATATTAAACTTATCCTGAAAATTTGTACTACATGTAATTAGGGATAGATGTTTTGAGGCATTTCAATGAAAATATTCTATATAAATAAGTCTGAATATTTTTCAGAACCTCATGCTATATACATTTCATTTTACTTTTGGCAGTTACTTCTTGGGTGTTAGATGAGGGCAATTTGGTACACTTGGGTCATCAGAAAAGAATTTTGCATACAAGCTCTATTAAAACTTTCATACACCTGATACTGAATTATAGGTATCCTAGGTGTGTTTTGAAGAACCATACATATATCATAAAAGAGTGCTGGAGAAGTAAGGAGATATGTTTGAAACTTAGCTCTGTCACTGAAAACTACCTATGTATATCACCTTGGGCAAAGTTCTTTCTCTACCTCACTTTGTTTTGTAAAATGAAGAGGTCAGATGACCCTACATCAGGGTCTCTCTTCAAAATTATTGAACTTCCGAAAAAATTTATCATGAAGGATGATTAAATAGCCCTCTTAAATAAATATTTTGGGGTTTTTGTGATTTATTGTGTACAAAATTTATTTGATTGTACATTTTGCATGTCTTTATCAGAGAACGTCCAGTGCAACGGCTGCACCGAAGGCACAATCGTAGCCTTGTATTTAACAGGACTTTGTCTTCCTGGAGAACCACCTTCGGTGTAAAGCTGGAAATAGCTTGTCTTTAAATTCCATCTCTTAGTTTTCCATGTAAGTAATTAAACTAATTTGTTATGTATTTATCTTAAGATTTTTTGACATGCCATTTCTGGGTCTTTACTTCTCTGTGGCTTGTCCCCCCAGTTTGGAATACATGCTTTTAAGACTTAGCTCTGTTTGATATTGTCTTCAAACACTGGTGTATAATGTACTTCCTGAAATTCCTTTGTATTTACTTAGCTGTTATTGTAGGCAGATAGGTGGCAAAGTGGATAGATAGAGTATTGGATTTGGAAAGACCTGAATTCAAATTTTGCATTACTACTTACTAGCTCTGTGACTCCATGAAATTCACTTAACCTCTGAAGTAACCTCAGTTTCCTCATCTTCACAATGGGGGAAAAATAATACCTATCATTGGGCTGTTTTATTAGGAATAAAAGATAACATGTGTCTTCAAAACTAAAGCACTCTATAAATGCTAGCATATTTGTTGTATCATCTACAACAGATCTTGTTTCTTTATTTTGTTAAGTATCCCTGGTCTTTTTATATAATTATTATTTACTAAATATTCATTGCTTCAAGTTGAATCTTTAAAGCTTTTGGATCTTTGGTATTGAGACTTACTCAGGACAATCTTTTGTTTTTCCTGTCTATACTATAATAGTTTGTTGCACTTTAGAGGAACACCAAGAAACCATGAACAACTTTAGCAATGACGAATTTAACTTCAGTTTCCTTGATGAGGGCTTTACTGCTAAGGACATTCTGGACCAGAAAATTAATGAAGTTTCTTCTTCTGTAAGTATTAAGCTAAGGTATTGCTTAAGTAGCTGCTAGTCTGCAGCTTGTTAACACAGATAGTATCTGGAGCCTAAAAGAAACCCAGACAAAGCCTAAAGGAAACTTTGTCATTGGGGCATAAAGAATAATCTATTAAAACCTTGTTTCCCCAGGGTCACTAGATGGGGAAAAGTAGTTAAAAAGAGTGACTTGAAGAAAGAGTGACCTTAGCAATATTTTTGTGAACTATAATAAATGTTTAAACATTTTAAATAATCTTTATACTAACTTATTTCAGGATGATAAGGATGCCTTCTATGTTGCTGACCTTGGTGACATCCTAAAGAAACATCTGCGATGGTACAAAGCTCTTCCTCGAGTAACTCCTTTTTATGCTGTTAAATGTAATGACAGCAGAGCTGTAGTGAAGACACTTGCTGCTTTAGGAGCAGGATTTGATTGTGCTAGCAAGGTAAGCTTTATTTGCTTATGAGTAAATTGCTCAAATCAACATATATATGAAGACAAGTCAAATTTAAATCTCTAGGGAAAAGTCTGAAAATCTAACAAATGAAGGCTCAAATAACAAGTTTTTTTCCCCTGGGTTTTGTTCATTCTGTTCTCATAATAAATTGCTTCTTTTTCTTCCCCTCTCCCCAGACTGAAATACAATTAGTACAAAGTCTTGGGGTACCTCCAGAAAGGATAATATATGCAAATCCATGCAAACAGGTGTCACAAATTAAGTATGCTGCCAACAATGGAGTACAAATGATGACTTTTGATAGTGAAGTAGAGCTAATGAAAGTTGCCAGAGCTCATCCAAAGGCAAAGTAAGTAGTAATTATATTTCAATATTTTGGATTTAAATTATTTCAAACTCTGTATTATATAGTTTACTATTTACATTCTGTAGATGTACATTAATATTTGTGTTGAGAACAGGTGCAGAACTTTTTCTTCCACTAAATTTCCCTCCCCTCAAAAAAATTCTAAATATGTTTTTGTAAAATAGAGTAAACCATTTTTTAAAAAAACTTAACAAATATATGTGGCAAGGTGGGATTTTTAAAATGCTACTTAGGGAATGCTATGGTTTTGTTTGTTTTCCACTTGAATCTTAACATGATTAGTGTTTTATTGAAATTTGATTGCCTTTTTTTTGTCCCACTAGGCTGGTTTTGAGGATTGCCACTGATGACTCCAAAGCTGTCTGTCGTCTTAGTGTTAAATTTGGTGCCACTCTCAAAATTTGTAGGCTACTCCTTGAGCGAGCAAAGGAACTGAATATTGATGTTATTGGAGTCAGGTAAGCTCATCATGTTGGAATTTTATAGGAAGGTGTCAAATTTCCTTAAGTCGTTATTTTGTCAGAAATAACCGAATAGTTTTCTCTCCTTAGTTTCCATGTGGGAAGTGGTTGTACTGATCCAGAAACCTTTGTCCAAGCAGTTTCTGATGCCCGATGTGTCTTTGACATGGGGGTAAGTAACAGGGCTTACAAGGGGTATAAAAAATATCCATGGTAGCCAATTTGCAATAGAATTATTACTGTTGTCAGAATAACTGTTCTACTTGCGTAGCTTATTGAGTGAATTTTTAATATAACTTTTGAAAAAATAAAGCATTGACATCTTAGGATTTTTTTTAACTTAAATTTCTGTGGTTAGCAACTACATAATGAGCTGCAGTTGCCTGACAATTTAATTTCCTTGACCTGTAGGTGGAGTTTGGTTTCAACATGTATCTTCTTGATATTGGTGGTGGCTTTCCTGGCTCTGAAGATGTAAAGCTTAAGTTTGAAGAGGTACCTAAGTTTTTAAAAACTATTCAGGATTTCTTGGTAATTAAGATTATCTGGGAAAGAATTTTCAAATATTTCCAGGCCATTAATTTACTCCTAAAAATTTGTAGAACTTCATTTTTTACTTAACTCTTTCTGTATTTTTTGTAATTTAGCTTTCAATATGCATGACTAATTGTATAAAGGTTTATAGCCAAAGCATTTTAACATTTAACATTAATATTTATTATACAAATGTAACTAGGATTAATTTTTAAAGTATGTTGCTTAAGAAATACTTAACACTTTAAAAAAAATCCTGTGCACTGTAGGGTGTCTGGGAGAATTCACTAGTTCTGGGAGTAAAACTATGTGTTATATATTGTGGGGTTTAGTGTTTGTGTTAACAGTGACCCCCTAGTCTGATGTGCCATGGAGAATCAGTTAACCAAAACAAATTGCCACCAGTAAATGGCTGTCTCCTGATTTGCCTGCAAATAATTCATGGTTTATTCTCTTACTCAGATCTCAAGTGTAATCAATCCAGCATTGGACAAGTATTTTCCTTCTGACTCTGGAGTGAGAATTATAGCTGAACCAGGCAGATACTATGTTGCATCAGCTTTCACACTTGCAGTTAACATCATTGCCAAAAAACTTGTATTAAAGGAACAGACAGGTTCTGATGGTACGTAGCAGTCTCGAGTGCTAAAGTAAATACATTTGACTAATACAAAAAAGTCATTAGGATTTTTCCTCTTCCTCCTTTTTTTAGATGAAGATGAGGCAAATGACCAAACCTTTATGTACTATGTAAATGATGGAGTATATGGATCATTTAATTGCATCCTATTTGATCATGCTCATGTTAAACCTATTCTACAAAAGGTAAGAAGAGTCCCTTTAAGAAACAAGACAAGGAAAGGTCTTATTGAAGTGGTATAACAGTATATTCCTGATTGTTGTTTTTTTTTTTTCAGAGACCCAAACCAGATGAGAAGTATTACTCTTGTAGCATATGGGGACCAACATGTGATGGCCTTGATCGAATTGTTGAACGCTGTGATTTGCCAGAAATGCATGTAGGAGATTGGATGCTGTTTGAAAACATGGGCGCTTATACTGTTGCTGCTGCTTCTACTTTCAATGGATTCCAGACACCTACTATCTATTATGTGATGTCTGGGCCAGCATGGTTAGTTTTAAAATTGATTTTACTACATAATTAATAGTATAATTGGCAATATATTTATATAAAATGGGTAAGTAGATAGACACACCTGAACTTTCAGGATTTGTATTCATGTAAATTCACAAGTGCTCTTCTTGGAAAGATTTGGTATTAAAGAAATGACTGCATTAAGAGATTGATTTACATTGCTATTATGTTTGCCACAATAATGGGGGGAATTACAAGGCCATATATCAAAATATAATTAGTCTCATGAGATTTATGATAGCTAACCAGTGATGCAGAGGATAGAGTGCTGGGCCTGGAGTCAGAAAAATCTTGAGTTCAAATACAACCTCAGATGCTAGCTGTCTATGATCTTGGGGTTAAAGCTTCGTTTCCTTATCTGTAAAATGAACTGAAGAAGGATATCTTTCACAAAAAAAACCCCAAATGGGGTCACAAAGAGTCGGATACAACTAAAATGACTCAATAAAAAATGAGACTTATACAGTATGTTAATATGCTACTTCTGTGTCTCTCAGGCAATGCATGCAACAAATCAAGAACCAAGGTTTTCCGGCAGAAGTAGAGGATCAGGATATCAACACTTTGCCATTATCTTGTGCTTGGGAAAGTGGAATGGAACATCACTCAACAACTTGTACTTCAGCTAGTATTAATGTATAGATGCTGTTTGTAGGCATTAATTGCAAGTTTAGCTTGAATTAGAGCATTTTGGGGGACCATTAACTTAATTCCTGCTAGAGTTATTAAATGTTTTAAGAATAGGGTTGGCACAAATGCAACAATATGGAAGACTAAGAGATGGGGTCACACTTATCTGTGTTCCTATGGAAACTATTTGAATATTTGTTTTATATGGATTTTTATTCACTTTTCAAATATGCTTCTAAAGATTGCCCCTCAGCTGCTAAGCAAGCATTTGTAGCTTGTACAGTGGCAGAATGGGATTGAGCTTAGTGTTGTGACCTGTTTTAAAATAAAAATATATTGAAATAATTAGGTATCGGAAATTCTTATGATCATTAAAAACTGGTTTGCATATAATGCCATTAAGACAAGTAACCATAAATACATAGAGTGAATTCAATTTCTTCAATTAAAGGTTTCAGCCAAGGATTTCTTTTCTCTGGGGGGTAGGGGGTAGTGGAGGCGTATATATTTTGAACTCCCATTGTAATATCTGTCAAGATCTTAGGCATTTCTATTTTGAAGTCCTGTACTTAAGATGCAAAAGATGTCAGAATGAGTTCAATTTCTGTCCTGCTAGGAAAGAAGGCTATCAGGTAGAAGGACTGAGATATAATCAATTGAAATTCTAAAACTTCAAGGCTTTTCTGCTGCCAAATAGTCATTACTTGTAACTATAAAGGTCAAAATGATGACCTAAGTCAGTTGGCTGTTATCTAATGGCTATTTAATGTCCTTGCATACTTAATTGTTGAGGTAATGGTTAAATAGTAATGGTTGAGGTAATAGTTAATAAGGTAATTTGAGTCAAGGCAAAAAGATGCATGATGACTTATGTCATTTGCCTGCTTAGACCTTAAACTCTTATTTCTTCCCCTCCTCCATTCTCCCCATCTTTGCTACTGGGACAACGTACAGTTGCAAATTGAATTAGGAATGTAAAATGTTTGTCAATAGTGACAACTTAATAAATTCAACAGCAATAATTTTTTTTTTTGGTGTTGTAGGTGTGTACCCTTCATTACATCTTATTTATTTCCTCTGGCTCTTGATTTTTAGTAAAGGGGAACTAGCTCTGGACCTTCTCTACACAAGAATCTAAGTCAGTTTCCAAAATCCAGACTTGAGCCCATAAAGACAAAAACTACTAAAATATAGTCTTTAATATTGATGGTAAATTAACCACAATTTATGTAGTGCTTTTAGGCTTACAAAAACTATTCCTCACAACCTTGTGTGAAAGTATATAATTAAGTATTTTATGTAGAAAGAAACTGAACTTGTTTCCTTGTCTGCTGACTTCCTTATCCTGGACTCTTGGTCGGGCACTCTTTTTAGCATAATGCAAAGCTTTATCATAGGACAATATATCAGATGTGCTATAATCTGAGCAGAATTATAACAATATTGAAGGCCTGGTCTTTGGAGTATGGAAGGGAGAAAGCAGAAGCTATAATGTAATCAAACTATCATTTGGTGCCCCACTCCAAGAACATCTATTCCTACAACAGGAAGAAAAGAAAGTTTATCAGAACCTAGATAGCCATACACATAATTCATATCTATTTTGACTCTTACTTAAGAGTTGTATTAGCACAAGTCTTACAATTCAAAGAGCAAATAGTGCTGCTCCCAAGAAGTCTGGTGGTAGCCCTTTCGCATTTTGTCCCTGAGCATCTGAGCAATAAGCCAACCGAGGTATTGAAATGATTTCAATGTACTTCTGCCTATCTCTTCCCTTATGCATTTACTCCATAGAAATATTCAGTCTCACCTTGTGGATTATCTTTGAGAGAGGAAACCACATAAGAAATAAAAGGTTTAAAAAATTCTTTGTAAGCTTATGTCAGTAACTCTTTCTCCTGACGTAGTTCGTGGCTGAGTTAAGTCAAAGTCAAAGGGTGAGTGAGCTAATTCACAGGTAGCTGAGTTAAACTGAGGGATATGGTCTGATTCCTGGAAGCTTGGTGGCCCAGGGCATAGAGCACTGGACCTGGAGTCAGGAAGTCAGGTTCAAATCCAACTTCAGACAAGTCACTTAACTAACCCTCTACCTCAGTTTCCTCATCTGTAAAATGGTAGAAGGAAATGGCAAACCACTTCAGTATCTTTGCCAAGAAAACCCCAAATGGGGTCACAAAGAATCAGATAGGACTGAAATGACCAAACGACAGCATGAACTCCTAATTAGGGAGCAAGAAGGATGCTGAGGCCAGTACAGACTTTGGGTTGCTTTGATTTTTGCCACCTTTGAGAAGCTCTGCCCAGGCCATCACTAATAAGTTAGCAAGCTTCTATGTGTCCCAACTCATAATGGACATAATGGGGAGGAATCAATTTATTAGCAACCATTGTCTTTAATGTTATTATAAGTAAAACCTTGTACAGTATATTATGTAATGAAGATGTAAAAATTGATTTTGGAAGGAACAAATTAAAGGAAGTTGGCATGGACGCAAAGATAGCATGGAAAGAAAGTACTGAAAAAATGAGGTTGGATTTAGTTGGTCTCTCCTGTAGATCCTATTCTCTAAAACTAAGATCTGGGATTACGCATGTGCACATGGATCTTCTGGTTGCTGTGAGCACTCTGTATCTTGATTATTCCTCTCTAGGATCCAGATAGCTCATTAGAAGTCTTATTCAGCCTCGGTCATCTACACTTGTCTCAAAAAACAAAACAGAGTGGGAATCAGAATTTAATAGTACAGCTCCAAGAATCATGAAAAGTGACTTGTCCCAAGTCACACATCTAGTAAGTGTTAATGTGCCTGAGGCTGGATTTGAACTCAGGTCCTCATGACTCCAAGGCCAGTGCTCTATCCACTGTGCCACCTAGCTGCCAAGAATCATTAAAAATTAAAGCTAGAAATCTAAGGATATCGAGGAGGAAACTGAAGCTCAAAGAGGATTTGCTTAAGATCATGTGACAAATTAGTGGCAGTACCTGGACCAGATTTCAGGTTTCCAGACACCAAATCCGATGTTCTTTCCACGGCACCATTTGTAATAATAAAACCACCAGGAAGTTATGCCATTTGTGCATGTGGAAGAAAACCCCTTGTTATATATACACCCAAATTCCCTTTGTAACAGGCACATGCTGTCAGCAATTAGAATGGTTGTTATAGGAATATTAGCTTCCATTTGTAAAGTACTTCAGAGAATATAATCCCCCCTTTACAGGGGAGAAAACTGAGGCTCCAAGAAATCAAGTGATTTATTGAAGGTCACACTGAGCTAGGACTCAAATAGCCCCATGCTATTTCCTCCTCTATGCTGCTTTCATCTTTGTGACTATCTTGTAAAGATCAAATGAGTAATGGATGTTCAAATGTCTTATCAATAGGGCCTCCTTGCACTCACCGCAAACAGAACTATGTTCTTCCCCCAATATATTATTCCAAATCAATTAGCGCTCACTTGTCCAGTTCTAAGAATCAGCCAATCGATATTTACACTAAGTACGTGGTATTCATTATTGTAGGGCATTTGCTACTAATCTACTCCAAGTCTGGGAGTAGGAGAGTCAGTCTTACAATTCACATTAGGATTTACACATCCTCTTTCTCTTCCACTGGTTTGGTTTTGGTTAATTAAAGTTGAAAGTACAATTGCTGCCAATAAATTATATTAACATTGCTTTGAAAGACAAAGGGGAAGGCGGGGCAGGAAGAGAAGAAGCAATTAAAAGTCATGCCTATGGAAATTTCACTCTCATTGATGAACTTTGAACTCACTGAGTATCCATTGCAGCCTCTCCCAAATAAAATCTCTCCCAAATATGATTAGCCTAAAAGATGCAAGTGAGCACTAGGAAGGAATCTTAATTTGGAAAAAGCTGCAATAGTATATTTGAATGGTCATTGTCAAGTTGTAAAGCACAGTATACATATGTATTATTAGGTTTGTGAGGGGAAATAGTTAATATTACCAGTATAGCATTAAAATTTTGGGGTGGGAAAGTGTAGTTTTCAGGTCTCATGGAGAAGAAACATGCTACAACAAGAATGCCGGAGTCAGAGGGTCAGACTGTCTATCACTGTCCATGTGCCATTGGGCAAATCACTTCTCTGGGTCTCAATTTCTTCGTTTGTTAAATGAGGGGGTTAAATGACCTCTAAGATCTGTCCCAGCTTAGAAAAGCATGGCATTAATGTAAGGAGAACACTTTGTTACCTAAAGTGTTACATAATAGTCCACAGAATCCTAGGATCTCCAATCTAGAGTCAGAAAGCATCTCAGAGGTCATCTATCTAGTTCAAACTTCTCATTTATAGATAAGGAAGTGAGGCCTAGTTGTCAATTTAAGTATTTTGTCCAAAGTCACACAGAAAGTGGTAGAGGTGGGGTTCCACTAGTGCTTTAGTTAATCATTTCATAAGGGCAGTATAAAGTGCAACAGCATCGTGATGACAAGGTCCTCTTCCAGCTCTTTGGGTCTTCTGGGGCTCCTGTTACCTCTTGGCTCATGAAATCAGCATTACCACTGGTTACCACTAGATGGCAGAACCATCTCATGTTAAGTTATTTCTTGATTTCTGGAATCTGAAAATATCAAATGATAGGATTCTTAAGAGTTGGAAGAGACCTTAAAGATGCTAATAATACTGGCTTCTATTCCTATAGCACTTTAGGGATTGCAAAGGATTTTTCTCCAAAAACTATGTGAGGCAGGTAGTATTAACTGGCCAGGGATGTATAGGGGTTCTCACCCACTTTTAAATTTTCAAGGTAAATGTGTATTTACTCTGCAGAACACTATAAACCAGGGCTTGATTTATTGTTTTGATTTATCTAGACTTAAGAAAGTGGTGGAGAAACCGTTAATAATGCAGCCTAAATTTAAGTATGTCATGCATACATTTTCCCAGAGAGCCAGTCGTTAAACATTTACCAGCATACATCCCCATTTTACAGATAAGGAAACTGGCTTACAGAGGTTGAGGCCATGATTTCAACCTAGGATTCCAATGATTTTTCTGCTATATCACACTGCAAATAACACTACCTCCTAAAATTTTACAGATGAGGACATATCATTTTACAGATAAAAGGTTGGCTAATTTGCCCAAGCTCACACAGTCAGTGGTAGAGCTAGGATTCAAATCTACTTCCCAACTACAAATCAAGGGATCTTTTCACTACACCAGACACCTCAAGGTCTGGTTGAGGTCATTTATAGCTCTAGGAGGGGCAGCTAGGTGGCACAGTGGATAGAGCAACAGCTCTGGAGTCAGGAGGACCTGAGTTCGAATCAGCCTCAGATACTTCCTAGCTGTGTGATCCTGGGCAAGTCACTTAACCCTGTTTTGCTTTGGTTTCCTCATCTGTAAAATGAGCTAGAGAAGGAATGGCAAATTATTCCAGTATCTTTGCCAAGAAAACCCCAAAGGGGTTCATGAAGAGTTCGATACAACGGAATGATTGAATAACAAACTGGTTCCAGGAGTCAGAGCACCAGGATTCAACTCCTATCTCTGACATGTAATAGCTACATGATTTGGGTAAGCAACATCAAAGTTGTTGGGCTAGACAGCCTCTGAGGGTTCTCTGATTTGTTCAAGGTCACAAGGCTAGTAAGTGTCTGAGGCCGGATTTGAACTCAGGTCCTCCTGACTCCAAGTCCAGCAATCTATCCATGACCACACTACTTAGATACCTCAGATCCTGAAGGGTTTTAAATGCCAAACAGAGAAATTGGTATTTTATCTTAGGGTCAATAGGAAGGAAAGGGTTGGAGTCAACGGCACAAATAGAGGGATTGGCTTTGCCTAGGTGAAGTACCCCTTGACCAACTCTTCCTTAGAGACTGGAACTAGGGAGAAGAGAATAGGGGACTACATTGGGGAAGGGGGGGGCAGCGGCTGCAGTTAAGAGGTAGAATAGAGGAGAAGACGGAACTCACAACAGACGCTCTCTTTCCTAAATAAAATATGAAGCAATGTCCATTCTGCCGAAAGTGAGATAAAGACACATCGATTCA